TTCCTGCTGCTGCTGCGGAGGCCCTGCGGCTTCTCGGGGCAGCAGGAGCAGCAGCAGCAGCAGCAGAGAGCCCGCATGCAGCAGCAACAACAGCAGCAGCTCTGCGGAAGCCGCCGGCCCTCCATGTCTCTCCTTGCTGTTCATACACCTCAGCCAGTTCTCTCAAGCCCTTCACCACCACTGCAGTCAGACTGGGCGCTGCTGCTGCTGCTGCTGTTGCTGCTGCTGCTGCTGCTGTGGGCTCTGCTGCTGCTGTTGCTGCTGCTGTGGGTTCTGCTGCTGCTGTTGCTGCTGCTGCTGCTTGGGGATCTGCCGTCGCTGCTGCCAGCGCCAGCAAAGACGAAGCAGGTGCTTCTTCTTTTCCACCTGCTGCTGAGGTGAATGCAGCAGCAGCAGCAGCAGCAAGAGCAGCGTGCTGCTTCGATGCTGTTTCTCTTACTGTTGGTGAAACAGTCTGAGGACTCAATGAGACCTGCTGCTGCTGCTGCTGCTGACATTGCTGTTGTTGTTGTTGCTGCTGCTGTTCTCCCTTTCGTCTCTTTGGCGTGTTTTCGTCGATGCTCGTGGCTGAATGCAACGTGAACTGAACTGCTGCTGCAGCTGCTGCAGCTGCTGCTGCTGCAGCTGCTGCTGCCGTTGGTGTCGATGGTGGTGATGTTACTGCTGTTGCTGCTGCTCGCGTTGCTGCTGCTAGTTGCGTACACACTGCTTCGCCCTTGTGGGGTCTCTCATCAACACTTGCTGCCTGCAGCGCATTTGCTGCGCCTTGCTGCGCCAGTTGCTGCTGCTGCTGCTGCTGCTGCTGGGACGAAGCGGCAGCAGCACCAGGAGAAGCAGCAGCAGCAGAGGCGAACGCTGCAGCAGCTGCAGTCTTGAGCAGCTGCGGCGTTTGGGGGCGCTGTAGACAAGCTGCTGTTAAAGAAACGCCAACTATCTCGGGCTCATCGTCTGACGATTCTGCTGCTGCTGCTGCTGCTGCTGTTGCTGTTGCTGCTGCTGCTGCTGCTACTTGTGTTTCGCCGCCCCATTGCTTGCCTTGTGAGGCACTCTTCATCTTGTTGCGAGGGGCCCCTGTGGGCCCCCCAAGAGCAGCAGCAGCAGCTGCTGCTGCTGGGGGTTATGAGGCCGCAGAAGAGCTGCAGCAGCGGCAGCAGCAGCAATTGCAGCAGCAGGGGCCCCTGAGTGGGTACTTGTGGGGCTGACGCAGCAGCTCAGGGGCCCCCAGACCCTGGGGGCCCCCCGTGCTGGGTAGAGCGGTGGCGAGGCCCCCCAGGAGCAGCAACTGTGGGGCCCCCGCAGCAGGAACATTGTTAGTTAAACATTAAATTGAAAATAAAACATATTTTGCATGCAGATGGGGGCCCCCAAGGCCTCCCCCAAGACAGGGGCCCCCTGTGCCCCCCAGAGTCACCTGGGGGGCCCCCCAAGACCCCAGCTGCAGCGCCAGGAGCCCGCGGGGGGCCCCCAGCCGAAGCTAGTTGCTGCAGCAGCAAGAAGCCCCCCAGAGGCAGCAGCAAATGAGCTGCCAGCTAGTAGGGGCCCCCGCAGCACAAATAAGTGGGGCCCCCAGGGGGGGCCCCATAAAGGGGGCCCCCAGGGGGCTGCACAGGGAGCCCCGTGGGTTGTACCCGTGCCCTGAGAGGGCAGCAGCAGCAGCAGCAAGCACAGCAGCTAACGCAGCAGCAGCAGCAAAAGAGGCAGCAGTTCTCTGGAGACACTAATTGGAGTGTATGTACACTGGGTGAAATTACAAACACTCAAAAAGCGGTTTCTAAAGGCTCCATGCTGAGGTGTACGTACACCTCAAAAACAGGCGGCGAAGCGCCTTATTTTCAGGTGTATGTACACCTGAGAAGCAACACTCTTTTTGTTTGCTTTTGGGCTCTTTTGCATGCATTAAATTAGGTGTATAGACACCTCAGGCCAGTTAGTGGGTCACGCTGCAGCAGCAGCAGCAGAGAGCAGCAGCACAAGCAGCATCCACGATGAAGCGCAGCTACAGAAGACAGCAGCAAGCTGCTGCAGCAGCAGCAGCTGCAGCAAACCTTCAAAGCAGCCATAACGAGCAGCAGCAGCAGCCTGTAGCAGCGAGGTACTGCTGCAGGCAATTCCCACCCTCTGCAGCTCCTGCAGACGTTGCGCTCTTTTTGCTGGTGCTGCTGCTGCTGCTGCTGCTGTAGCTGCTGCCGTCCAAGCGACAGCAAACTGCGCTGCTGAAGCCGCGTCCAAGCCTGCTGCTCCTGCTAGCCTGCCTCTCGCCCACAGCAGCAGCTGCAGCAGAGTCTGCTGACGCTGCAGCAGCAGATGGCGCTGCTGTTGCTTTCGCGTCTTGCTGTGAGTGCAGAAGCCTCAAGCTGCTGCTGCAGCCCCTCACCTGCAGCCTCCCGTGTCCCTGCTGCTGCTGGGGGACCCCTCCTGTGCTGCTGCTGCTGCTGCTGCTGCGCTGCAGACAGCTTTTGCCACAGCAACAACCACCCGATTCGTCAGCAGCTGCAGCTCCGTCAGCGTAGAACAGTGGGAGGTCTGCTTGGGGGGCCCCCAGCGGGGGCCCCCCAGGGGGCCCCCCTGGGGGGCCCCCTGGAGGACCCCCGGGGGCCCCTCAGCTACACTGTGGAAGGCCTCCAGGAGGGCTTCGCTGCGCCGCCGCTGCACCCAGGCCCACAGGGCACAGCTGCTGGACCCCGAGAGGGCCCCCAGGAGGCCCCACCTTAGGGCCATTTGGCACTTCTGGGGGCCCCTGGGGGCCCCTGGAAGCAGGACTGGGGGCCCCCAGGCGCCCCTGTTGGGCCTCGCTTGGGCTGTCGCCACAAAGGGGTACCCAGGGGCCCCCTGCAGCGAAGGAGGAGGGGCCCCCGGGGCCCCCTGCTGGGTACGGGGGGTCGGCGGGGGCCCTCGCAGCAGCAAAGGGGCGAGAAGGGCTGCTTAGGGCGCCCTCTTTGCGTCTTAAACGGTCAATTTAATTTAATTTTGCGTTTTAATTCGAAAATTCGAAAACAATATCCAGTAGACAGCTCGGTGTCTCGCATGCAGCCGGCCACGCAGCAGCCGCAGAGCCCCGCAGCGACACAGCAGCACCAGCAGTTCTTCGGCTGCTGCTGCTGCAGCTGCCTTTGCCTTTATTTAAATTTTCAATCAAATAAAATTTAAATAATTAAAAATCAACAAGACACTTGCGGGTTTCCTCAGGGCTAACGCGCAGCAGCAGCAGCAGCAGCTGTAGCTGCCGCCGCTGCAGTACAGCTAGCCGCAGCAC